CCACAGGAACAACTCTATTTCCCCCGCCCGCCGATGAAGAGCCACCTTCTGCGTCCCGTGTAAGCTCTCCGCTACCACGAACCACATCGATCCCAGAGGGTCTCCTCTCCATGATGACACCCGCCGTAGAAACAACCTCAACATCTGGCGTAAGCATGGATTCCATTTCCGAAGCAATGAATCTTTCCGGCTCAGCGTCAGCGACAATGGCCTTCCCGGTCTCCACCCTTCGTATTTTCCTCAACGATGTCTCCTTGATATTATATGGCTCATCCGCGGTGAAAGATAGGCTGAGAAGAGATCTCATCCCGCACGATAATAGTATGAGGGGCGGAGTCCCTCATTGGCGGAACTTGAGTTCGGCCTCCTCGAGCATATTCAGCTAAGGCAAATTGCATTCCAGGTGACGCGATTGCTTGGCAGAATGCAGGCACTGGAGCTCTCATCTTTTTGGAAACTCGCCGACCTGGCACCAAAGGGAGGTCGCATCAAAAAGCGATAGTGAACGGCAATAAGTTGAGGTAGGGATAACACTTACTTGACGGGGTCTTGGGTCCAAAACGCTTGTGAAAGGACGCCCAATTATGAATTCCCACGGTATGGGGTAACACGCGAGCCACCCAATCTTCAATATCGAAGACGGGAGAAGGTGCCCGTCTCTCAGCTAAAAATAAGGAAGCCGCAAGTGAGTCGAAAATGAAAGAATAAAAGAGTATAACGAGCATACGGCAAGATACTTACGATTATAGTTCCATTGCTCGGGAAACCCAGCCGGATTCGCCACCAGGTGCTCAGTCTTGATGAAGAAGTACTTATGCCAGAACCGCCGATTCGTCTTATCATCCATCTCGGCCACCAACCCTTTGATCCCACGATGCCGCAGGTGTATCAATGTACCTCTATAAAAGGTGGGCGACAATAGATGCAGTAGGCGGCGAACGTGGACCTCACAACCGGCTAACTCTGCATACTTCGCCAGCATCAGAAAAACTTTGTACAAATAAGGGAGAGTTGTGTCGGGCAGATGTTGTAAAATCGGCAAAATTCCTCCACTAATTGGGGGAGAGGAAGAGAATAACCGATTAAGAATGGGGAGAAAAAGCACAATATCCGGGTCGGTGAACCTCTACGATGTCGCTCCCGGCCGGAACAATTTCGACGTGAGGAGGAATGCGATATTTAGATCGGAGGTCGGCTTTTTGAGGCGGTCCTGTCTCAGAAAGCTTCTGAGCAGGAGCGGGAGCGGGTTCCTTTAGGAAATCATGTCTGACCAAAGGGTTCTTAGGGACCACCTCCTCCACGGTGAGGAAGCTTTTCTCCTCTTCAACCATGAATTCCTCACCGCCGGGAGGAAGGGCCACCGATAAAGGAGTGGCATCGGAAACTTCGTCGTGAATATGAGGGGATGTTGACATATTTCCGTAGTGAAACGAATGCAACAAAGGCTGAAGAAGAATATATCAATTGGGTAAGAAGTCAGGGACTAGAATTGAAGAGGCTGCAAGAGATTGAAAGCGGAGATCGGAGAAGAAGATCAAAGAAGAACAATACACATGCGAAATGAGAAATAATGAAAATTTTCGAAAATCGAAACCCCCCCCCCCCCCCCATATATTTATAGGGTTGGGTGACACCAGAATTGAAGAAAAGGACCGTTAATGGCACCAAAATCGAAGCGGCAGAAGCACAGACACTGCATTGGGAAGACGCGCAATGATGACGCGCATGGTCATGACGTCACCCCACGTTAGCCACACCAACCGCAGCCCCGCTCGCCATGCTGTTTTTTCGACCTCGGCCGATTCGGTTCAATCAACACAACCAAATTTCTTCTTAGCAGTTGCAGACCGGATCCGCTCATCGAGGACGTGCAAGATCACGACCTCAACAAGCGGAGGGACTAACTGTAATGGTCTAAATTTGGGTGGCTTGATAACTACAAATAAAATGGTCGAGGACAGAGCCGACCACGGCACAATGACGAGGAGTCTTCTTAAGAAGGATTATTGCCGAGACCAAGTAAAGGAGGCAAGGAAGCAACAGTAGGATAGTTGAGTAATAGACGTAAGGAATATTCCATTGGATATTCTTTATGTTGTACTTTTTAGGGTTTCTTGGGAATATCCCTTATAAATAGGAAGAGATAAAGAACAAAGAGGGGATCTTCACTTTTTGATAAGAGCACTTTGTAACGAGTTTGACTATAGAGAAGATACAAAAAGGCTTATCTTGTTCACTGATTCTATTGCTCAACACACGTTGTTCACTCTTTGTTTACAAGATCCAAAGAATTCTTATCCATCCTCACTTTCCATTATCCCACGTTGCTGTCAGGAAAAAGAATCACCCAAGTCATCTAACATTTGGGTGATAAATTTCTCTTTATTACATTTATTGCCATTATCTACATTTATTGCATGTTCTTACTATAACATTCATTGACAATCATTGAATAAGTACCCGATATTTATTATTCTCGAACAAGATCTCATCCCACGGATCTTTCTAATCTTAGATCTAGAATTTATTATGTTTAACTAGGATTCACCCTCTATTTCCTCATTAATTAGTTTAACAAAAAGCTTAACACTTTTTGGTCAAACAGTTCCGTCTCTATCTTCTTGTGACCAATATATAATGACTACCTTAGTAATTGGTAAATGGAAAAAACATTGAAAAGAGTCCTATTTTCCAAACTTAATGTGGAAATAGAAACTACTTTCACAAATTCCCTTTGACTTTTACACTTTAGATGAGTCAACTTCATTTGCCAACAATATATTATCCATGACTTCAACATCTTTGCCAACAATTATATATCTAAGACTTCAAGTTGAGAGGAAAACAATAATAAATAAACTATAATTTGCATTTTATCTTTTTTCTATTAATTGTCGGCTGTTGTCAATGTAATGGTGTGATCAATTTGTTTTAACAGATTAAATAAACGAGGTATATAATAAACATTCACCGATATATAGGAGCATAAACGCAGATTTATTTCATTAACTACTTGTTATTGCAATGGATGGTTGCCTTTAAGCATCATATGTTATGGGATTAAGTAATTTATTTACCTCTTAACTGTTTAAGTTGTCGTACTAGAGTAGGCAAAAATCTTGCGTACTAGTGTCATTGCTATCTATTACAATAAGATATTCACTTTTTGGTGTCCTACTCTAGCATATACTCCATTTGACCATCAGAATACCTCGTTCATCAATAAATGTTGCACCTTGCACCATTTTCAAGCACACTGAAATAGTGGAAAACAAATTTTAATTCACGTGTAGTCACATAATTGTCTGTTTGAAGGCTTGATCACAAGTATTGGTTTTATCAATCTCTTTTGAGTGGTTTAATTTATCAAATTTTCTCTCAGCCCGGTTTTTTTTTCTGGTCACCTTTGATTGAAATGTAGGAGTAGGAAGGAAACAAAAGAAGAGAAAGCTAAAATACAGTAAGCAAAAGTGTTAGAGGAAATAGTGGTACCCAAAAAAATATAGAAAAAATGACACTGTATAGCCGCTCTCAAATAATAGAAAAAAAATAATATATTTTTTGCATATGAATGTAAATAGTTTATGGCTCGGGCTAGAAGTGATAATACCATAAAAATATACACACTTACTAACGTTATATCTTTTTTCAGTTTCCTTCCATATACCTATTACTACCAAAGTAATTTGGATTTGTACCCGACATTAATATAAAATGTTATTGGATCTACTGGAAACTTTTATCCATTTGTGGAGTTCTATAATCAGTAGTCCCCATATTCCTCCATCTGAAGGTGTGGTGGTGAAGGAATTTAAACTATAGCAGCTAACAATATGCCAGGGAGCAATGATTATTCTGAGTTTTGGCTGCTCTTTATATGGTTAACATTCAAGTTTGGAGCATGTTCAATGTTTGTATCTTCTAGGTTTTCTCTCTTATAACTTTGAGCTTTCCTTTTCCCATTAATTCCATTGCTTTTCCTATTAGTTCCAATTGCCTTGTCTTCATCACAAGAGTCTACAAAAATGGGACCATCATTCAAATTATGTCACATCTTGTGTGTGAAACTCTTTTGTTTAGATACACATAGTCATCGTATTCCCATCTCTTTTCACATTCAGCCAATTCATATCTAATTCTTTCAAACAACTTGTCACATCCGGTCAAACCTCTCTATAACAGCCTCGTTTGTTTCGAATATTGTTGAATGTTATAGCGAAGACTGGTACAGAGAACATATATTATAACATAACATAAAAATAGGTTCCGAAAAAGCTTGACTTTTATAGAGAAGTGTTGTTATATAGCACTACTAGAAAATGGCTATTTTGCGACTGCAAAACGGTCAGAAAGTGATTAGAAAATGCTAATTTCCGACCATATTCAGACCGAAAAGTCGTAGTCGCAAAATAGCTGGTCTGAAATAGTTTGCGATCGAATCCGTCCGTAATTTGCGACTACAGCGGTCGGTAAGGCAAAATAGAAAAACGACTAATAAATGTGGTAAAATATCCGACCAACGCGGTCGCAAACAATTTAAACTAAATTTTAATTTTATATTAACTTTCCCACTACTTCGGTCGCAAACGGTATACATAATTATAATATTATTTAATATTTGAGTTTTCCCACTACTGCGGTCGCAAATCTAATTTAAAATTATTTATTTATTTATAGTTCCGACTACCGTGGTCGCAAATCTAATTTAAAACTATTTATTTATATTACTGACTATAGCAGTCGTAGATGTTCCTGAATCTGGAATATTTTGGTGCATCTTGCGACTACTATGGTCGGAAATAAGTCGAAAAACTGAAAATTTTTTGCCAAATTCCAGCTCTTTTTAAAGCGGTACCACCTACCAATTCAAATATACAACAACCAATTAATCCACGATGCTAACCAATCTAATCCGCCATTTCAACCAGTCAATCCACCATTGCATTTAGTCAAATCCATAAAATGCAAAACACAAATATTTGTAACTAAAACATCCAAAAAGAGTTGAACATTCTGGCACCATTCAATCTAGTCTAAAATATTACAATCATAGTCAAGTGCAAATATTACCAAGTCTAAACATCCAACTACAACAAATAATAATATCTCAAACATCACAACCATAACAAACTAAAACTCATTATCCCCGCCATCCTCGCCATTCAAAGGACCAAATGGACGTCCGCTCAAAAATTTCTCCACTAGACTCTGCAATTTGTTAAAATTTGCGCGATCTTCTTTCCGTTCCTCCTTCAACTCTACAACTTCTATACGTAATGCTTCCACCTCTTCATGATCTTGCGAATCACTCGCATCACCAGACAACAATGTCGTAGAACGACCTACATAATATTGTGATCAAAGACCGTAGGTTCTACCTTTCTTTGCGCCACCAACCACCTGCGTCCATATTGAAGCTACATCATTGAGTGATACTTGGGTTGAGCTACCATCCTCGGAATCGGGTTGACTTTGACGCCATTCCTCAAACGTTGCTGATAGGCTTCCTAAATTTAAATGGAGTCAAAGCGATACTTGAAGAAATTAAAATGTACGTTTCACAGTTTTCTGATGAAGGAATTTTCTTTTCTTAATTGAAGGTGCATTTCAGTTTCTCTGAAACAGGTCCAGTACTTCACATTTTTTACTCTCAAAAACTGTGAAGTAAAGTGACCTCAATACATATTTAGACAGAATATTAAACCCTTTTAAAACATCAGCAGATGTCTTTACTAAGGTTAGTACGCAAACAACTTAGAATGCATTGAGCCTTCATACAATGGGCGACTTGCTTCCTATAACTGTTCATAGAAGCGCTTAGCATCATCATTTGGTTCAGATTGAGCCCTCGGGTGCATCACAAAAGCAACCCTAACTATTTCACTGAATCGAGAATTTTCAACATTATTCTCTGCTAATGGACTACCCTCACTACCAAAAAATTTTGAAAATCGACGTTACCAACACTAGCAACATCTTCTCCATGAATAGTCCACACGTAATAATTTTCTATAAACCCTTTTTTATAAAGATGAACTTTCATAACATCTGGTTGTAATAACTTTTTGCACTTGCATTTCATACAAGGACACCTAATCACCCCTTCAATGAGAAATTCATGAAGTGTTTTTGTTTTAGTCATGAATTTGGCAACCCCTTTTATAAATTCATCCCTCAACCCATTACGATTAGGATAAGTTCGATTATACATCCATCTATGATGTGCAAGCTCCATCTACACAAAATAAATCCAAGATATTTAAAATAATATATATTAATTAGTATTCTTATCGTTTAACACAAGCCATCTACACAAATACATTATAATTACAAATACATTCTAATTAAGCAGATTCTAATCACAAATACATTCTAATTAAGCAGATTCAAGTTGAAAGAGCTCTCCACAAGAAAGTATGAATTCCATTTGAGATTTATTCTTTTAAAGTATCCTCATTTTATTTCAAGAAAGTATATTTTACTAGTAAGAGCATTTGAATTAGTGTATTTCATGAAAGTATACTTTCAAGAAAGCATACCCCTAATGAATTAGTGTAGTGCTTGTGCTAGGAGGGGTCCCTTGATAGTAAAATTAAATCCACAACAAAAAAACCTTAGTCATTAAACCTTGACTTTCATAGAGGTTTAAACACAAACCTTGACTTATCACTTTGAACAAACAGATTGGTCAGGAAAAATTAAATAGCTACCAAAGACTAAAGGTGTATGTCTTTATGCTTTCTGTGGCTATTGGCTCGCAATAACTAACCATTCCATTTTATCATGCAAGAAAGTAATAGAGATGAGTGCGTCAAGATAAACTTTGTGGTATGCAGAAATAATAATGTAGCTAAAATTTGCTAAATAACTGCCCTTCATAAAGTGCACGGATCGATCCTGCACGAATCCAAAATTGCTAATAATTTGCTGGTCAGCCATACGGTGAATAATATACCTATGAAGCATAGTTGTTATCTAGACTAAAGAGTTTTCAGTTATTTAATTCTTGCTCCTACTCTTTGATAATTGGCATATATGTATTACAGGTGAAATTGCACCAGTATCTACTTCTTTCCACATTCTACATTTGTATTAAAATTTTCAGCTTCCCTTATATTATCACAACTACCAGTAGCCTCATCTTTTTTTTTCCCCTTTCCAAAAATCAAATGATTCTGGTTTAATTGTGTCATCTTCTCTATAACTTCGCACTGTGAATCTCAACCATTCCTTGATTAAAAATACACCACTAAACGTGGAATCTTTCTTCCTTTTCAACGTTGGAAAATTATTTATTTTTCTATCAGCTCAATTACGAGTTACAAATATAGAAAAATCGAACGAGTGTAATACATAAGATAAAGGAAAGGTTCAGTCAAACAACATTCTTAAGATTATTTTTCAACCCATATGATAATGTTAGGAATTTAATAAGTGTAATCTAATAGGGTTTTTTTTATTTTTTATTTCACCCTCGATTAAAAATATCAGTAGAATAAGCCTCTCCAACGAATAGAAACTTATATATCAGAACATGTATTAGTCGATAAAATACTAGTAAATTATTAAACCAAACACTCTATTTTAAAAGAACCCGAACATTAATGAAAGAGAAATTTGAAAGAGAAAGAGAAAGTGTGTGTGAGTGTTGCGGGTGGAAAGGGAACTCACTGGAGAAGTCGTCGACAGTACTGGGATTGATGGAAGAGGGCCACGGCTTGAGCGAATTGAAAGAGATTCTATTTGAGCTTTCAGATGAACGAAAAAATTAAACAGAAAAGGAAAAAAAAAACCTTACAGTATGAGAAGAAAGAGAGAGAGCTGAGTGATTAGTGATTTACCTTCAAAAATTTGGGGAGAGAGGGGTTATCAGTGTCGAGCAGAGAGAGAGATGGGTCATTGGCGAGCAGAGAGAGAGAGAGATAGAGGAAATTGGGAAAATAGGGTTTGGATGTGAAATATTAGATTAAGATCACTGACCACCGTAGTCGCAAACCCGCTTAAAATTCTTTTATCATTTTAATTTTAATTTTGCGACCGACACAGTCGCTTAGTGCGTCAACAGGAATTTTTGACTTTTTAATGTCCGACTGAATCGGTCGCAAAAGTGAAGGCGGGAAATTGGCGCGTTGTTTTCCCATTGCCTTGGTCGGAATAATAGTCATTTTTTTTTAAAAAAAAATAAGTAATAAAAATTCAATCCCTTTCTGACTACTGTGGTCACAAAAATAGTCCCATTAGCGACTACTTCATTTTCAGTCAGAAAATTCGATCACAAATTAATGTTTTTCTAGTAATGTTATAGGGTAATAAGGATGCTGTTATAGAGAAATCTGAATGTATATGTTACCTAAGTTATAAACTGTCAGTAAAAACATCTTCGTTTATATATAACATAAAATGAGTGTTAGTCGAATGGAATAATTGGATTGATTTTTTCACTCACCGACTATGTCATTACCTTTCTGATGATCTATGTAAATAATTTCGCGTCCATGGTTCATTACTTAGATTGTTTACTTAACACGGCGAAAATGACAAAAATTGTTCCTTATGTTTGGGGTTAGTTTAAAATGGTCCCTTACATATAGTACTCTTGAGCAGTTCTGGTCTTTCTATGTTTGCTAAAAGTGAATACTTTTGGTCTCAGTTGAATATGCAAACAACGGAAAAAAAAGAGAATTAACCAGAAATACTAGGAAAGTCCCGTCAAATCTCTGTTTCAAAAGGCAGAACTAGGACTCGTCTGGGGCTCGCCCCAGGGCGGAGCACTCGTAAAATGCTTCTGGGCTTATGTGTGGGGCTTAGTTCCGTGAGACTTATGCCTCGGTCGTCGGGGCTTACGCCTCGGACACGCCCAACTCCCAATGTACTGGGCTCGCCTAATAGAACTTTATGCAATTGTATGTAACTAACCTTGTAAACTCTCAAATTTTTTTAATAAATCGTTGGCTATTCATTTTTTTTTAGCCATAAATCATTAAGTTGAGAGTATTTTATGTCATAATTAAATAAAAATTATTACACGTTATCCATTAAGACTGCTATGATAGTAAATTTTAAATAAATCTTTCATTTAAAAAGTATTTATTTATTAACCTTTATTCTTTATTATATAATAGTCCATAATTGTTTTATAATTATTTTTTTTAAATATTATTTTTTTCACGTACGTTTTACGAGATACAATACTTATTAATTTAATAGCTCAGTATTAGCTAGTAACTAATTTAAAATAATTAGTTATCATGTTATTGTATGGTGAATTTTGTGTCACTTAATTTATTAAGTTGTTGAAACTTAAAAATAAATGATGCTAGAGAATCATATTTAAATTGTGAATTATATTTTTATATAAATTCTCTTTTAAATAAAAAGTATATTAAATAAAAGGAATATTTTTTTAAAAAAAATATCAAAATATAATATCAAAATTCTTTTAAGATTCAATACTCCTTAAGAGATACGTATAAGATTTCGCTCGAATACATTACTTTTGATGTTTGAGTTGTAACGACGTTACAGCTAATTTGCATATTATGATATAAGTAATACTTTTCGTATTATTCATAGTTGAATTATAATTCATAAATATTTTAAATAGATTATTTGTTATAATTTTGTGATTTTAATATAATTTTTATATTTATTTTTTATTTTATACTATCTTAAAATCTTTAAAATGTATAAAGTTTAAAGCTCCGTGGGACTTACGCCCCATGTCTCAGGGCTTACGCCTCATCTCTTCAGAGGTAAAACGCCTCGTCTCAAAATGAAGATCTCCACATATAAAAATACAAGATATGCCCTTGGTTTTATAAAAGGAAAGACAAAAGGTAAAATAAAGTTTCGCATATAGATTACAAGCCAACAAAATTGGAATAAAATTAAGCGGATCATCTCTGCATCGATCTCTCCTGCGTTTGAAAGCGATATTTTACTGCATGTTCTGTAGGGTCTATAGTCCGTAAGATTGCTAGTAAAACTTCGTCGATCTTTGCAACCGCACTTTACCTTAAGATTAAGAGAGAGACTTTCTCTACAACTGATTATGATTGCAGAATTTTCTTGTAATCCTGGAATGTCCCGTCGAAAGGTGTCACCCTGCCCTCAGAGACGGCCCAGAGTTGATCAACACTACCAGATATTAAATGTTCATCGTGACTGACCTGTAAATAACATGTAGTAGCAGAGCATTAGAGGCCAGCAAAAACAAAATGCCGTTATGTTTCCAATTAGTCAAAGAAACTGATAGAAGTTTCATAGTACCATTAGAACGCCTCCTTGGAACAAGACAAGACCTTGTATCAGAGCCTCCACCGCGTCAAGATCCTACATAGAGCTAGATCAGAATTTTGCATATATCGCTAATCTACCAAAATCAAGCAAGAGATATGTTCCCACTCGAACAGAGTGTCAATAGCAGATAATGCAATCAAATATGCAAAAACTTTGGATACACATCATACTGATTACTAGTGCATCCTTTGCCTTAGCTGTTGAGGTGAAACGAAATGCAAGTAAGAAACTAAAACAAGCAAAAAAATAACTTACCAAGTGATTTGATGGCTCATCAAGAAGCAATATGTGAGGCTTCTTGAAGGTTATCTTTGCAAATGCAACTCTGCTTTTTTGGCCACCTGAGATCCCATAGATCAATTCATAATGTGGAGAATAAGCTATTATGGTACTCTTGACTCCAAATGACAACACATAACAGAAGGCGGAACTGAATCATTGTGATCTGACCAGGAAAAAAAGAGAATGCTAACGTACCAGACAAAGTGTACATGGGCTGAAGAGCAAGATTTCCAGTGATACCAAATGAACCTAGATGACCACGTAATTTTTGTTCAGGCACTCCCTGCAGGAAGTCAGAGCAAGGTTATGCATTAAAAGAGATAATTTGCAGATCCACTTTCTGCAATATCAGATTTAAGAGAGTTATAAAGCCTATAAATATCTTATTCAGGAGTTTGGACTTTGGACACAAATAAATTAAGAAAAATCAACTCCTAGATCCACCTTCTTATCCAGAATTTCTTTCGTTCTTTTTTGGCTATTGTTTTTTGTTTTTTATAGGACCATGAGGAGGGAGAAGGAAAAACACTAATTGAACCTCATCAGCAAGAACAGCAGCTGCCTGTCCAAAATCACAAGTTCTCTTTTCCTTCCATTAACTATTTCATCTTATATTTTACCTGTGTGGAACAGTCGAACAGACCTCGATATCCAACTCCATTCAGAACAAAACTTCCAAATATTGGACAAGCTTACCGATGAATGGGAATCAGAAGCAGTGGATAAAGTAGAATGGAAGATTTATTTCGCATATATTTTCAAATTAACAAGAAAATTCATCATCGATTAGGAGAACTTACTGGAAAGCAACGCATCATGTATAAGAGGGGATTTGAGGACAGATCCAGCCCATCAACATGATGCTGACTAAATACAGCAATTCGGACCTAAACAAAAAGAAAAATGCAATTAGAATGCATTAAGACCGAGTAATTGAAATAGCAAAATGAGACAACTGCCTGCACGACAATCATTATAAGCAAAAGATAACCACTAGCATTTGTTTATACAGAATTATTAGTCTATAGACCTTTAAATGAAAGGTGACAGGAATTGTAATGAGAGAATGCTAAAACGGCTGAAACACAAATTGACCAAACAATATGGTATACTGACAAGAGTTGGTGAAAGTTATGATGTCAAAGACAGAACTAGTAGATGTTGGAAGTGATAAACAAAAATAAACCCTCACAAAATCTCTGTCTTTGGAAAATAAAAGCTACCTTAGCAGAGCGGAAAACAGTTCCTGAAGTTGGTTGAAGCTCCCCAGAAATAAGCTTAAGTATTGTTGACTTTCCAATACCATTAGGACCAACCACTGAAAAATATATATGGTGAGATAAGGCCCATGATACATAGAACAATATAAATGATTAAAAGAAACAACTATAAAGATGCACATGCCTAAGCCACATACTACCTTATTCACAAATAGAGATATCCAATTTTACTTCCCAACAGAAAAACTCAACGTAAAATACAGAGAAGCATATTACTGATCAGAGGATATGTACAGAGGTTTGCAACAATTAAGAAAACATAAGTTTAAAATAGTTGATTGTTAGGTAATCAAGGTCTTACTTGCTACTCGACTATCCAGATCTATTCCAAAATTCAAATTTTTGAACAATAATGGCCCCCCAGGATATCCAAAGGATGCATCACTGCATATGTTACAACAAAGTAAGAAGTTAATTAACTGAGATTTGCTATCTGACAAAGAGATTCAAAAGAACGTATTAGACATGGAATAAGAGATGCCTAACCTGAAGCTTATAATAGGAGCACCAGGTCTATCATCAGGAGAAGGGAACTCAAACTTGTAGCTGCATACGCAAAACAACATGAGTACATATAATTAAAAAATGTAACAAGACCAAGATCGGAGTTCTATAGACTAAGGTGATAACATGTTAACAAGGGCGGCTCTAGGGTAAGGCGAGTGAAGCTCTTGCCTCAGGCCCCCAAAATATTTAAGGCCCAAAAAATATAAGTACTACCATATCATTATATAATATATGTAATTTATATTTATACAATTATTGATCAAACATTTTAAATTCTAATATTTATTTAAATTTGGTAGATGTAGGATTGAATGAGTTAATAGGATAAAACTTTTCTCTCAATAAATTAAATAATATATTTATATTCTCATCAATTCTATTTTTCTTTCTTTCTTTTTTTATATTTTTTACTATTTCACTTTCTCATTTAAATCAAATTCTCTAAATTAGCTATTCCTTTGTCACATTTGATAGATCCTCATATCAGTAATCAAGTTCTTTTGTGTCTCATTTTTTTTAACTAAGAAATCC